AGATGCCTATTCGGATGGGAATTATAGCGTCAATCAATTACTGCATCTATGAACGTGCCGCAATACAGTCAGTGACTGATTACATAGCTAATCCAGCTCGTTTATAAGACAGAAAAGTCATTGTCTCATACTTTAGAGGAACACGTGAGCTCTGCTCGGGTATCTTGAGATCACTCCAACACCTGACGCTGACAATCGCACCGGAATACCAAAAAAAAAATCAAACACCACCGAACAAAGCACCAAGAGCACCTTCAGTCGCCCTTACCACCGCATCAACATGTATACCACCCTCGATACCTCGCGTGACCAAAGCGCCATCCTCACGTAGCAACGCATGAAAAAGCTTCTTGGTCTCCTGATCGATTTTCTTATCTACCCCGGGGATCGACACGCTAATCTCAGGCCGCAGCTGAGGCTCACCGGTCCATTCATCCAACACCAAAGTATTTGACAAAAGCACTCGGAGGCTGGAGTCAGGGGATTTAGGGCTGATGACCATCGCACTCCGGTCTAAATGCGGGATCAGTCGTCGCAGTTCAGAAAGTCTGATAAAGCCGTTCTTGCTTTCCGAGGCAGTATCCTTTCTGCCCTGAGAGACCCGAGGGCCATACTCATGGTCAATGTGTGCCCACAAACGAGCGCGAGTAATTGCAGATTCCCAGTAACGGTTTATTCCCCAGCATAGAGTTGCCACGTCAAGTTTCAAAAGAGGGTTCTCTAAGCGGGTATTGATCCATCGACGGAGAGCTTCGGGCACTTTTCTTTTCTTGCTGTCACTGCCAGCAGGTACTGACAGAGAAATCAAAGACTGGGTCTCGAGGTTCGTCTCATAGACAACAGTCACATTATATAGACTTGCTGGGAACGGAGATGGAGGAGAAAAGGTCAGTGTGTGTGTTTCGAACAGCTCCTCCCTACGTGATGACCGAGTTGTACGGGTTTTGAGGGTCAAGGGCGCGAAGGCTGTTAGGTATGGCAGTGATTGAGAGGCTTCTTGCAGGGCAAATGGATTCGTCGGCAGCGATGATAATTTCCGTTTTGGACGAGGGATATTGGCGGAGAACGGGAGTAAAGTGGCGAGGAGGGATGATACCGATTTAGGGGCTGTTTTTGGTACTGGGAGACTTGTACGATTCGCCTCTTCAGATGTGAGTAAAGACCTAGAGATTGTCAGCAGTATCCAAGCCGAGGTTGCTTGTGGAACCCACAGAAATTCGTCGAGTCCTCTCGTGTCGCCCTCCGAGTCAGGATTAGACTCGATTTTGTGTGCCCATTGTTCCAGTTTTTCAACTTCGCTTCTCAGCCGTCGCAGATCCGCAGCGCTCTTCTCGCGCGAATTGCGTTTCTCGCGAACAGCTGCTGAAACTTCACCCGGGTCTGAAGCTGTCTCCAGGTCCTCCAGCGGAGGAGATTGGAAGTTCACTGCCTTAAGTGGGCTTTCGTACAAAGCATTGGTAGTTATTCGTTTCGCTCGTTTCTCCTGTCGCCTACTGGGGCTGCTACTCAACATTCCCCTGGGTCGATCCGGGGCCTTTTCTAGACCTAATTGTGTGGGTGTGGGGGGAAGATCGGGTTCGAGAATATCTTCATCCATGAAACCAGAGTCCGGATCCATATCCATATATGCTTCTCTTGTGGCGCTGCCCAATTCCAATGCCAATTGACGCTCGGGGGTATTTGATTCGGGATTCTTTGGCTGTGGCATTGGGGATCCGAATACTAAATCTCCTGGGAAGATCCTCCTTGAAATCCTGCGCGGGGGTTTTGAGAACGCTTGAACGCCACTTGAGCGCCTGTTGGGGGAACTTTCGGGCGCTTCAGAGCCTCGAGGTCGAGTGAGGGGACTTGCGGAGGCATTGAGCGAGAGTCGGAGTGCTTTGCGATCGCGTAATCCAAATTTTCGAGGATCTTGTTGCCCACTGTCTTTGCTTGCTGGTCGTCGGACAGGAGATCTGCTAATTGCGCGCTCTAATAAATCGGGATGTGATCGTGCAAGACTGGCCCTCGTTGGAGACTGGAAGGAGGGCCGTCTCGACCGATGGGCTTCATTTTGAGGAAGCTCTGGCGCTACAGAAATGCCTGTAGTCTCGTTGGTTTTTCGCTTTTTTGCTAAGGAATCCATTGCCGCGTGGGGTGTTCGTCTAGCCCGGCGCGCAGATGATGACCTCAGAAAGATAAACAATCGTGAATTGTTTGCAGTGTTTGCATTATGACCTAATTTCCCTTCGTCAATGCACGAACATTCTTGTCTTTCTCCAACTCACACTATGGAGTGTCTCTTGACGGGTACAAGACACTGGCTGCGGAGCTCCGTGTCTCAAATCCGCTCTTTCCCTGTTGGAACGGATTTTTCATTCGCTTCATATCGACAATATGTGCTGGTTCCGACTCCCCGGCGCATGAACGGACACAGCCAATCCGACCAACCCAATACTCCAGCTTCCCTGGAGGAAACTGCAGAGCCTCCTCAGGCCCACCCTCTGTCAGGATACTATTCATTGATATTGAAATCGAGCTCACCATACGCTGGTGGTGCACCGACATCACGCCCGACGCCCACTCGGCCCGAGGCCAAACCGACGCCGGCATCTACTGTCGCACCGCAATCGCCCCAAGAAAGAATGGCGATCGTGTTTGGCAGCCCTCTCACCGGTCCAGGCCGAACCTCGCGCTACAATCCTGGTGAAGCTCCTCCAGAGTCAATGTGGAAAACTATAAACGGAGTCCCCATTCCTCCCCAACCCGAGGAACCGGACAACTGCTGCATGAGTGGCTGTGTTCACTGTGTCTGGGATGACTTCCGGGATGAGATGGAAGACTGGGCATCCAGGATCACAATGGCCAAAGCTAAAGGTGGGCCTGAGAAAGGAACACGGGACATGCGCTGGGCACCTCGAGCGGAAGTCCGCGCAGCCAGTGGAAGCATGGATGATGATGGCGGTGGCAGCGAAACAAACTGGGCACTGCCGTCCGAACACGATGACCTGTTTGCCAGTATCCCTGTTGGTATTCGGGAGTTCATGAAAACCGAGAAAAGGTTGCGGGTGAAACGTCAACATGAGGGTATAGCTACAGTGTGAGCCCTTGCGGCTGATTTTGGTTGCTTCTCGGTTTTTTATACCCCGTGTCATACTACATTGGAACAAAATGGGGATCTGTGTCTAGATCAGACATAGTATAAGGTATAGAGATAGACTGTACATAAATGATGCCATAACGTTTTTATACCTTGTTGAAGAGATTATTCAGGCTATTATAGTATGGACATTGACATAATTAGTGTAATCTTTAAACGACCTTAAGGATCATTAGTATTTTGATAGTTCGAAAAGGAAAAACTTGAATTGCCCGTGAGACGTTTCACGAAGCAAATTTCGGTATCATTAACAGCAATACCTACAGCATTCATTATTGATGGAGAGTGTGACGCCGGAAATACCGCACAGGTTCCTCGAATTATCTTGGAGAATGCGATTGATGCTTCTACCAGGGTGTCTTGTAGGGTTCTGTGTTCAGTAAAATGTCATCACGACAAGTAGCTCACGAAAGACTCGGATCATACTACTTTTTGCGTTCTGCGCCTGTACACTGCTCCTTCTCATAATGGAAATATCATGTATTGCTGTAAACAGGCTTTGCTGAGAATGTTGGAAAGTGGACCCTCCAGCTTAGAGCAATTCTCCCACATCATACTTAAATGATAGTCAGTTATTACTTGATATGAAATCATAGTCAGCCAAAACAGGAGGATGGCATTATCTTGGATTCGTGAGTCAAAATCCAACTAAAATCACAGAAAATGAAGTTGCTAAGGACTTGATTCAAAACACAGTCTTGAATGAGGCCATTATATTCTTGTGGTTATTCAATTCGTAAGCTAATCTTGGAATTCCTGCAGGCCTTTCTCACTGCCTTTTAAGTACTTCCACACCAAACGACATGTACAACAATGCATACACACATATTTGTAATTATCATGATAGTAATAAGATTCTTGGTCTAGGTTAGCTCAGCTTGCTCAGAATAAACTTGACCATTTGAGAAGATCTCCAATTAATATACCCTATTGTTCAATATGGACATCGCAGTCTGCGACTCTTCGGATTGCCCAGTAAACACGGTCTTTATGCTGCATTTCCTGTGCAGAATTATATTTACTCTCGGCATAAAAAAGATACATACATGGATTGCTAGTACAATTATAAATCTTTTTATGTCATGCCCATACAAAGGATACGAAATTCATAAAAATATAGCTCTTGTATACATATGCAAACGGACTTTGTGTATTTTGGTATCAATATTGATAAGTATTAAGCATACTACTTTGAGGTGCTATACAATCTCTATATGTGGTGTTTTTTAAAGGTGCTTCTCGCACTTCGATACTAATTTCAAGGTTGCTCAGAATATATTAGTGATAGAACGACCTAACTGCGCTTAAATTACATATTAGTCTTTTTTATGGGCTGAGTGAAATGGATGTCACGGATTTTGTACCCTTTGTATGGGCATTACATCAGGATTTATTCTTGGGCCGCGACCAACCCAGGGAAGGTTTTCATGTGCTTGGTTACATTAGCTTGGAACACTAGCTTCTCCAATGACGGCGTGTCTATTATAGAATACTTCAACGTTTGATCCTTATTCAAAATGTCTGGACTGTGTGTTGGAAGCATCTAGGTGAAGACTCAGTCCTAAGGGATGGGTGGGAAGAGATTCTCGGATTCAAGGGACAACAAGTCTCTCCTAATATGTATTTAGATTGAAACCAAGCTGGGCCATGTACATATTCCCAGGCCTCTTGTTGGACTAGAATCGTGCCATGCAGAGTGCGGGGTCTCAGTTCATAGATCATCATAATGCAGAGATTTTGTGCATTATGTTTTTATGTCACACATGTGAGAGTGACAAGGAGGAAAGGAGGAGTATAAGTACTCTCGAAATGTCGTGGATGTTGTGAATATTCCCGAATCTTATGCTTGACAGCCCTAATCATGGCGGTTATTCCTGGTCTTTCGGCACTTTTGAACATGCAAGACTTCTCAAGTATAGCTCTCGCTTTGCTGAAGCTAAGCCTGACGTTGGTAAGTATACACTGGTCTTCCAGGTTGTTTCGATGGAATTCGGCTAACTAAGGGCTTACTTCTAAATAGATCCCACTTTACCTCATCGGTCTCCTGGCCTATAATGTCTACTTCCACCCTTTGTCCAAATATCCTGGACCTAAATCTATGGCAGCTACACGTCTGCCTTATATCCGCATGATCCTAGGTGGCCGGTTCCCACAAAAGATGAAAGCATTGCATCAACAGTACGGCGATGTAGTTCGCATTGCCCCCGATGAACTTTCTTTCATAGACGGCGCGGCCTGGAAGTCAATCTATGGCACACGTGTTGGCCATGGGCAGAAGTCTAAAGATGATCGATTCTATGCACCAACCGCTGGGGAAGCTCCCAGTATCATCGTCTCCAATGACGCCGACCATTCCCGCTTTCGACGTCTGTTGTCCCACGCATTCTCCGATAGCTCACTGCGCGGCCAGGAACCTATAATTAAAGTCTATGTTGATCTTTTGATGCAGCGCTTGCATGAGAATATCGAGAGTGGCACAAAGACCGTGGACATGGTGGCCTGGTACAACTTCACAACCTTTGATATTATTGGAGACCTGGCTTTTGGCGAGCCTTTCGACTGTCTCAAGAATTCGGATTACCACCAATGGGTATCCATTATCTTCAGTTCGCTCAAGTATGGTGCCTACGCAAATGTGTCTCGGCGCTTCCCGGGATCGAAATACATCCTCCCATACATCACTCCTAAGTATGTTCTCTCCCACAGGAACACACACCTAGCCTTGACCGAGGAAAGAGTCCAGAGTCGCATAGCCAAGTCTAATGAGAGACCTGATTTCTTTGGCAACATTTTGAGGTATCGAAATACCGAGAAAGGATTCAGCATCCCAGAAATGATCACTAATGGCAGTACGTTGATCATCGCCGGCTCCGAGACCACTGCAACTGTGCTCTCTGGGGTGACGTATCTGCTGCTGAGAAATCCACGCGTTCTGGCAAAGCTTCAAGATGAGATCAGATCAACATTTACAAAAGAAGAAGACATCACCTTGGAATCCTGCAATAAACTAGAGTATTGTGTGGCCGTCCTCACTGAGACTCTTCGAGTGTATCCACCCGTTGCAGTTGGATTACCTCGTATTGTTGATGCCCAGGGTGATATGATTGCTGGAAACTGGGTTCCAGGGGGGTAAGTACAAAGCTTGCTTGAAAAGCCATACAGCATACAGCACCTCTTACACCTTTTATAGACCGTTGTTTCCGTCTCCCATCTCGCTGCCAGTCACTCACCTACCAACTTTACCGATGCAGAGCAGTTTATCCCAGAGCGGCATTTGGACAACCCTCGTTTTGCGAATGACAGTAAAACTGCAATGCAACCGTTCAGTTTCGGTCCTAGGAACTGCATTGGACGCAAGTAAGTTTTTAGTGTCTCTATTGTATTCGCTCTTTGCTCATATATATGTCTAGTCTGGCATATGTCGAAATGCGTATCATTCTTGCTCGCATGGTCTTCAACTTCGATATGGAATTGGACCAGCCTGAAAAGGACTGGGCGGATCAAGAATGTTATGTGCTATGGAACAAGCCAAAGCTGATGATTAAACTAAAGCCGAGAGTTTATTCCTAATGAAGCTGATAGCATCGAGGCTACAGCTTTATCGGGGCAATATGCATGAAGGACCCGTGTTGAATACTGATATCAGATTGGATTTCTGAGGGAAACACACAAGAAGAGGAGGGCTTGTCTTGTATAGGCTCGAACCTCCCGTTATAGTACTGAGATTGAACAAGCAATCAAATTGCCATGGCAAGTTATATTAGCGAAAGAGTGCCCGAAATATTGCATCCACTAGATATATTGGTGCCTAAGGTGTATAAATTTCTCAATTGCACAAGTAGATTTCATACTCGTTGATGTTGTTTCTGTCATATATGCTCATGATATAATGTCCTTCCCATTATGTTCGAATATTCAAGAAAGTCGACATATAGATAAGATAAACTTATGTGACTGCAAGTCCCTCTGTGCTGATGTATATTAATCAAAACCGAAACGTCTCTCATAATCCCAATTTGTTCAACATAGCCACATATATGCAGGTCAGTTTATAGATCATGCTCACCGCCACCGCTATATCGGCAGAAAAAAAGTCATCGCAGATCCCAACCACAAAAGACCGATTTGAATCCGCCAATAACCCGACATTGAGCGCAAAGAAACCAATATGTCGCTCTCTAAAAGCGAGTCCGATGTGATCCTTAACCGGGCCAACATCGCCCTATCGCGCAGTCAACGGCTCGTAGCCTCATGGCTACCGCAACAGACACCAGAAGAGCTAGCAAACCCCAAGACCGACGAAGAGCTCCAACGAGAAGAAGATGAAATCTTCACTGCAGTGCCAGAGACGTGAGTGCTACTGTGCTACTCCGGCCCTCCACCTACAATCTAGGCATATACCTTATCACCATTCTCCAATTCCACCAAATATACCCTACAATTCACGAAACTAACCACAACGAACTCACAGCCTCGGCGTCGGAGCCCCCCTCCCACAAAAAGCAGCAGACGGAAGCTGGAATCGCACAGAGCTGGACTCAAATGACAAACTACGCAAACAACTCCTCGGCAAGAACTACGATCGCGTTATGAAGGCCGCCGCCGAGCAGAAGGCGGCGACTGCTGCTTCTACGGCCGCGGCTGCGTCTGCTTCGGCTAGTGTGTCGAACGCCGAGGCGGAGGACGAGTATGATGAAGAGGACGGTCGCTCGGCTATGCTTGCTAGGCAGAAGAATAAGAGGAAAGGTGGGGCTGGAGCAGGTCGTGGTGTGCATCCTGCGGCTGCGGCTGCGGCTGCTGAGGCCAGAGATAAAGGTGGCGAGGAGGGTGAGGGTGAGGTTGTGCCTGCTCCTGCGCGCTCGAAGGGGAGGAAGAAGGCTACGAGTTATCTTGATGAGCTCTTGGCTGAGCGTGCGAAGAAGAGGAAGAAGAGGTGAAGATTTGCGGTTGATCGGTTCGATTCTATGTTACCACGCACACGAGCTTTGCGCGAGCTCTAACTGGCTCTGGGTCCTCTTTGATGGATTAGGCTTTGATCTTGGTCGCTTTGGATGCGCCAGACACGGCGATTGGGCCGTCGATTCAGGGGCTTGGGGTTGAACCCATGCCGCCACAGCCGGATTGCCTGCTGAGGCCTCACTCTGCCAGCGGCAGAGACTACAGCGCAGTGTCCCTTGGCTAGACACGACCAAGGAAGACTGCATACATACTCGGCTGAGTGCCATGCTGTGCCACGTGCCAGTCCAACAAAATAGCAAGACCAAACAGTGCAGAAAAAAAACATCATTCTAATTGATATAATCAAACTGCAAATATAAAATACAATTCAATTCCAGTCTCTTGCTCTAGGTGCCACAAGATTCAAATGTTTTTTTTGCTCCGCCCAACCCAAGGGTATATATGATATGCTGTGTGTGAACGAAGTATGGAGACCCGGAGAGCCGTAGGCCGTTGGGCTAAGGGCCGGGATTGGCGTGCCTTCGCCAGAATTAAATATCCAAAAATAGAAAAGATGAAAGGTGGAGAAGAAATGGGGGAAATGGGACATCTACAGGCGGAATTAAAAAAATGAGGTCAGAGCTGAGGACATTCTCCAGATGCCTGGAAATGGGTGCCCTTTGCTCTGGTGAATAATACATATGCAGATCAAAAGAGCAGGGGAAGAAGAGGGGAGTGACATGGCTTGTCGGTGGTATAGGGACTTGATTGGAGAAGAATGTAGTGCCAGCTTTAGTGAATGGTGGACGCTGGGAATCTTCCAAAAATGTAGGATTCATTCCAACCGCTTCCGCTTACGGTCCTCTGACATCGCCTGCTGGTCCTCGTCGGGTCTTTCGGCAGTATCTGCAGGATTGAGCAATGAATGCACATTGCTCGCCATGCTCGAGCGACGGGTTGCGGGCAAGGAAGAGCCGTGAGGGAATCTTGAACCACCAAGTGTCCAGCCGTTATCGACGCCGAGCATGGACGGTGAAGGTTCGGCAGTTGGTGGAGTGGCATGGCGGGATTGTTCTCGAAGGCGGCGGGGGGCGCCCATTTCGTATTGGGCGAGGACATCACGGACTTGCTGGTCACTAGAGACCGGGGTTCGGTGCCCTGGTGATGAAGGCCAAGGGCCGTTTGGGGGGTTGCCAGGGGGGTAGGGTGAGCCAGCCGAGGGGGACCAGCCGTGCTGTCGGATATCCGCAGACGTGTGACGGCGGGTCAAATTTGGTCCTGGGGACGTTGATACGGAGAGAGGATGAGGCATCGGTTGCTGTGCGGGCGGCGCAACAGGAGGTTGTAGGCGAGCGTATGCTGAGGCAGAATTGGCGCCGCCAATCGAGCCGTAGCGGCGAGGGGATACTGAGAGATGGGGAGGGACGGGCGGTCGGATCATGTTGGTGTGTCTAGGTGTATGGTCCATCATGGACTGTCGACGGGCATCGTCCTGGGGCATTTGGCGCGGGGACAAAGGTGGACCGGCTTCAGTCATGTTGGCGAAGTACTGTTGCCGCGGAGGCATGAGGGTCTCGTGGGGGGTTTCCATGGCGCGCATGATTTCGATATGTTTCTCAACTTCTCTTTGCATGCTCGAGACTGGCGGGTGTCAGTGGGTGTCACCATGAGGGAAGCGGCAATATTGACATACCATCGCGATGTAGAGGGCTTTCCCTATCGGGCACAACAGCTTGAAGAAACCGTGAAATAGAATGCGTCCACTAAAATCAGGTTAGCACTAATAGACCCTGCAATAACATAGACGGCGGACATACCTGGTAGCACTTTGTCAGGCTTTCGGTCATAGCATGACATCTCGAGTTCAGTGTGATATTGCCTTCTTCGGCCCGAGCCATACGATTACGCAGGTCGTAGAAGGTTTGCTCGATATTTAGAAATCTAGCTTCGGTCGCATCATGTACGGGTTCAGCGGGAGTTCCGGGCTGCGAAGCAGGAGCCTTGTGGCCAGGGAATGAATCGCGGTGGATCAAAGCGTGTCTCGAAGCACGGCGCTTGATCTCTCGTAGACCAACTAGATCGCCTCTTTTGAAGTTCCCATTGCCATGTTTAAATTCCCAGAGCGCAGAATCCGGGGACCCGGTGTGAAATACGTCGCTCACTAGCAGAGTCAAAAATGGTCAGAAATCGCCCAGTCAAAGCTCGCATGCGAAACACCCACCTTTGTGAAACCCATACATATTCAGCTGCCGAACGAACGAGGAGATATTGGTATGCTTGAAGTATGATCTGCGAGGGTCAGAGACGAGTTCATTGGCAGAGAGGATAGCACGCACGCTAAGACTTTGGAGAATTCCGACGTTGGCGACATGACGAAGCTATCATTTGTACCGGACCAAGAGATGAGATGCTGGATGCTGGGGTCTTCTAGCATACTGTTTCCCAAAAAGGTAAGCCGATGAAGACAAAAGACTCAGGAAGACCAAAAAGCATACTTGTAGAGCTTGTGAATGAAAGCAGTCTGAACGACTTTTGGCTGCTGAGCTGCGGCCGCAGCGCCGATAGCCGCATTTGGAGCAGTCAAAAGATTGTTTCCAGCTTCAGCGCCATTGGTGATTCCGGTCATTCGGTCGTCAGAGCCATGCGCGCCCGTGGGCGGAGGGGTGATATCCATCGAATGCTGACCAGACGACGAAAGTACAGGTATGTTTCGTGTCCTGCCGGGGGCGTCTGATACCCCGGCAAATGAAATCCTAGTAGAAGGGGGGTCGGCAAGACGACTCATGTCGGAGGGGTGTGGGTATATATAGCACAAGATCGATGGTGGATGCGACGGGATCGTGAGGGGTGGAATTCGGACGCGATGGACCGTTTATGCTCGTGCCGAACGAACGTGGGAGATCAACCAATAATCAACACTTCTGTCATCGCGCAGAAATTGGGTTGTTTTCAACAAAAATACTGAGGGAAAAAAAAAGAAAGTCTCGAAGTTGTCTAGAAGGTTGAGAAAAAGGCTCTGCGGGGAAGGGGGCCGGAAATGCGTTGACAGTCCGGTCTGCAGAAAATATGAGGAAGTTATGAGTTTAAACAGGGATGAAGGAAAAGAAAGAGACTAATTGGATATATTAGCATATTATCTGGGAAAAAGGGGTGACAGGGCTATTACTTTAATTGTCTAACCTCTACTCCATATCTTTTATAGCCCTATTGGCCTGGATTCTACCTAATTCTCACTAATATAACACGGTATACGGAGTATATCAAAGGACAAAGAGGCTTTGAGGCATTTAACTGGGATTCGGTGATTATAAAGGGTTCATGTCTGACTACAGCTAGACTGGCTAGACATACTCCGTAGTTCTACCTGCATAGTGCTCCGTACTATTGTACTATTATTATATCTCAAATTACCCCCTAATAATGATACACTTTTCTTTGTACAATCTGCCTTTTTTTTTAGACTCACATGCATATAAGGCCCTGGTCTAATCATCATCGGGGTATCTACATATTTATTCATACAGTATTGCTTAACAAAGAGCTTGTATTGACTGCAATCATCCGCTAGCGCCCAGGTGGATTTGACAGGGGTTATAGCTGACTAGTTGGTATAGTCATTTCTTGTTTCTTGTACGTCTAGTAAATCGCGAAATTCAACCTTCATGTTAGGGATGCCAGAGGGGATCCATGCGTCATCAAAACACCAGATCCAGATTTTGTCATCCACAAGGAATAGAGCAAAGTCTCCATCCCCCCAAATCGCGGTGGGTGCCTGGTTATCTGCAAAAGGTATTCTGCGAAAGGATAAGGATGAATACGCTTCAGCATCGCGGGCATGCCACAGCTCTGGAAATTCACAGCCAATTTTCAAATCCCCTAACATCATGTCTAAACAATAAATCAACCCCAGGCCCCGGGCTGAATAGTCTAGATTAGTGTAAGAATAATTGAATTCCAGCTCTTGAACATATTCGCAGCGGAAATGCACAGTAATCCGATCATCTGCCTCGAGTGAAAGCGAAAGCGAACCATATTCATTCTCCTGTTGTAGAAAATTAGGATAACGATCCATATAGGCTTCGGTCATATCGTAATCCAGCAAAGTAGAGCTTTGACCAGGGTGCGGGCACACTCTCCATGGTGGCCAGCTATCTTCTGGTTTGCATCGAAACATCCACAGTTCGTCTTGTCTGAAAGGAAGCTCTCGATATTGCTCCCACATGCAGATAAACTTATTATCATGGACAGAGAACTTCTGAGTCTGCAAATGATGCTCTTCCCAATACAAGTGGCCATCTGCCCATGCTTGAGTATTGTCGCCATTTTTTCTGCGGACGCAAACAACGGAGAATCCATCTTCCTCCGGATGTACTGACAACAAAAGAATGAACGGCCCGATTTTGATGGAACGGGCGATTCCAGAGTCAAAGCAGAAGTGGACCACGGAATCCGAGTAGCCCAGCATGACCTTGGATCCGATGGAGATGTAATGACCAAATTTCAGCGAAGGAATGCGGAATGACTTGTACTGTTCTTCGGACATGCTCCAGACATGACAATACCTATCGTGTCCAGTCAGAGGTGCATTCAGCAAAGTGAAATTCCTGTTCTGGCTACATACCCCCGAACAGAAATTGCTGAGACTAAGGTGTCCGAGACCTGGACATAAATAAATCTCTCTCGATTCGCTGTTGTGAGGATTCTGTTCTTGCCGGTTGATAGGTTCACCATGAATATAGTAGTTTGATCTGTGGATTTTTCAATCCACGCACATACTCCATTAAAACAGCTTAGGGCCTCTCTCTCCATGACGTTCGCTACATTGCAACACAAGTTATTAGGAATTGTGGCCACAACAGCAGGAATTCCCTTTTCCGCGCGAATTCTTTTTTTTACCAGCGCGCCAAAACCGATAGGGGTAGAATCGGACTTGATGATGTTTTCTCCCATGTGGCGTCTGATTGCAGTGGTGAGGACGATGGTTGAAGAGAGCAATTCACGCCATCGTTTGGAGACCTTTGTAATGTCAACATGTTGGTCACGAGTATCCGAACAGATGCTGACATACTCTTTGAAGGATAACAAGATCGGCTAGGTCCAAGTACTCTACCAACATAGCCACCAGTTCAATAGGCAGTTTGTCTAGCAAATCAAGTTGGAATGTCACCGGCTCGAGTCGACTTTTCACCTCTCGTATTTCATATGAATCTAGGTTATCAAGAATCTCATTGAGCCTATTTGTATCAGCAGTCAGATCCGACTCTGGGCTTTGGACGTGGGACATACACTGCTCGGCGGCTTGAGCTGTCGCGGAGAGCAATAAAGCCCTCGAGAATGGAATGGGTGGGTGAGGCCATGTTAGATCGAGGCGAACAAAATATTGAGAGAAAGGAAGAAGCTTTCAAAGGAATATTGTTGGATGGGATGGGATGGAAGGGGGGGGACGGTTTGAGGTGAGGTTTAAGTAAGGTGGTGGGCGACCCGTGGACTTCAGTACGGGAGGCTCTCGCAGCCTTTTTCTTTTTTTATCCCCTATCATGGAAGCATTATAGAATGTTATCATTCCCCACGTAGCTTCTGTCAAGCCTTCAAAGAAGCTCGAAGAATATATGGCCGAGTCCAGGTCATTCCCACTCGGACAAGCAGCCATCCACCCTGCATATATGAACTTTATAGAAAGGGATACTTTACACTAAACAATGAGAGTTCAATATATCATCTCTCACATATCCCGATTAGGAACTGATCTAGGTCATAGAAATACTCAAGAATACAGTGACAACAAGAAAATAAATGACACAGGAACAGGCGCAAAAGCATACAAAGATCACTCTAAGATGTCACTGCGGTGGTTCGGCTCGGTTCGCTAGCCCCAGGAAAAAGGCAAATGAAAATGCTCCCTACCCTCTCTATCATTATAAACAAAAGGTTAAACGCCCTTTAGATGCCGAGGGTGAACTCAACACCGACGTCGATCTCACGGGCCATCTTGACGACCTTGGAGAACTGGACGGATTTCTCAGCGGCGTTCTGGAGGTCCTCGATGGAGAAGATCTTAAGGCCGGACTCGTTGATCTAGAAAGCAGGGGCTGTGGTTAGTTGACTCCATAGCGAAGAAAGGGAAAATGGGGACTGTCATCATACCAGCTCGTGGGCCTTCTCCATGTTGGTACCTTGCAGACGGGCGATGATGGGGGTGGTAATGTTCATCTCCTGCACGACGTTGATCAAACCCTGGGCGATGGCGTCGCAGCGAACGATACCACCGAAGATGTTAACGAAGACGGCAGACACTTTGGGGTCACTGGTGATCAGCTCGAAGGCGCTCTTAATGGCAGCGGGGGTGGCACCACCGCCGACATCGAGGAAGTTAGCAGGGGTACCGCCGTTAAGCTTGATGATATCCATGGTGGCCATAGCGAGACCGGCACCGTTAACTAGAAGCGAGAATTAGCGTTGTGATATTTTGACGTATCAACAGGATCCTTACCAAGGCAGCCGATATCACCATCGAGCTTGATGAAGTTAAGACCGTGCCTGGAAAAAGATGAAAGTCAGTCAATGTTGTTTCGCGCCGTTTTTTTTTGTTATAATTCGGTAAGGCAACGTACTCAGCGGCCTTGACCTCATCGGCATCCTCCTGGGAAACATCGCGCCACGAGAAAACCTCCTTCTGACGGAACTCGGCATTGTCGTCGAATCCAAGCTTGGCATCCATGGCCAAAACCTGGTGATCGGAAGTCTCAGACAGAGGGTTGATCTCGAGCTGGGTAACATCGCGTTCCATGAAGCACTTGTAGAGGTTCTGGATAGTGTTCTTTGCATCCTCGATGCACTGCTCGGAGAAACCAAGATCGGTGGCGATGGTGCGAGCGATCTCGTCAGTCACACCGACGTGGATATCAATGGGGGTGCTTGTGATGGCCTCGGGGCTCTCCTTGGCGACAGCTTCGATATCCATACCACCCTGGGAGGATGAGACGATGACGGGGCCACGAGTGGTACGGTCAAGGAGGACAGCAACGTAGAATTCACGGCGGGCGAACTTGCGCTCGCAAATGTAGACCGAGTTACAGATACGGCCGCCAGCGCCAGTCTGCTTGGTAACGAGCTTGTGACCGATCATTTGGCCAGCAAACATCTTGGCCTCGGTGGGACTGTAAAGATATTTATCAGCTTCATTGTTGACAACCCGTTCTTAGATTTGTTCAACTCACGAGTAGATCACACGGACACCACCCTTGAGACCATTGTCGAATTGGCCCTTACCACGGCCACCGGCGAGAACCTGGGCCTTGATAACAAGATCACCACCACCTGGATTGTAATTTTCAGCGAGCGCGTTCAACGGGGGAAAGTGGTATATTATTCTTACCGATAGACTTGGCAATAGCCTCGGCCTCTTCGGGAGTGTTGGCGACCTCACCCCTGGGGACACCGACACCGTACTAGATTGTTGATCAGTGATCCTGGGTTCCTTTTCTTAGGCGACCAAAGTGTGAAACGCAGGTGGACGTACAGTCTTGAGGAGTCTTGCGGAACGATACTCGTGGATGGAAAGGTTTCGCTTCTGCAAAGCGATTCTGCTCTGAATGGAGGGTTGCTATTGTTCAACAAAGTCAGCTTAATTAACACATCAAACGAGCACCCGATTTCAGATATAACTCACTGTCGCAGCCTTGAAAGCCGCCGCAACGGGTCTACCGCGAGCAAGCTTAAACATGATGAATTATGAGAGGGAAAATGTGGAAGGGCGGAGATATAAAGCCCGTTTAGATGGTAAAGGACCGGGAGAACAGCTTTCTTTTTCACTCGGGGTAGGTAACCTTGTGTTACGCTAGAATCGGGTGCCGTGGCCAACCAGCGATCGTTCCTGACCTGACTCAGCATGGGGTACGCGAATATAACGGAACATGGCTAATAAAGTCGGTACTTGGATATAAACGGGTGTTTATTTACTTGTATGATCTATATCCGTTATATCTTTTGCGTTTGTCCATCATATCTTATTGAATATATTTACACCTCTCTCCCCCTCCTTTATTTAGCCGAGGCATTTTTGATCTTCCATAGTTTGAACATTTTAGTCATGGCCCGACCAAACAGTCCCGACCAAGCCCAGCCACCCGACAACATCCAAATCAACCAGCTAGCATGACCCTCCCAGATCCAGGCCTTACGACCACGAGCCCATGGCCACAACCAGCGCCATGGAGCTGAGCCATACAACACTTGAGAAACAACACTGCGAGCATAGGCGTCATTCGGCATAGCATTGTGCTGGCTATGCTTCACACGGGTAAGATACTCGGTCTCGATGGGGGAATATAAGGAATTCGGCCGCAGAGATCGGTCGGTCCGCGCAATACGCGATTGAACACCGCCGGTAACGATCGTTGTGACGTGGACACTGTTAATCCTGGTTAGAAAACACAACATAACGATCTTGGGGTTGTGGTATCTAACCCGAATGGCTCCAGCTCCACGCGAAGCGTGTCACTGAACGAGTGTAGTGCTGCTTTGGAGGCGTTGTAGACAGAGCCGAATACATATGGGATGATCTAGTCAATGTCAGTACGATCGGATCTACGGATATGGATATACCTCAAACTTACCCCGGCAATGGATCCAATCTGTACAATAGTACCTTTCGCCTTGATGAGCAAGGGCAGGAAAGCTTGGCACATGGTAATGACCGCGAAAAGGTTGGTCTCGAACGTTTGGCGAACCTCGGCAAGCTCTACTTCCATCGCGGGAACGGTATAATCTGCAGCAATCAGTACCTATAAATGGTTGACTCTAGCAGTCGCAGAGTGGGGTTACATACTCCGACCACTGTGGGATATTAGCCAGATGTACCTCATCGTTCACGGATAAAATGACAAAATCTACATGTACTCACGCGTTGTTAACGAGATAATCAAGACCCTTGTCTCCGAGTCTCTTCTCGACCTCTGTGAAACAAGATTTCACGTTCTCCGGGTCATCAACTGTAAGACTCAAGGTTTCAATGCCGATGTCTGCCAGATCAGAAATAGTCGCCGCATCGCGAGCAGTGGCTAGCACGCGTAGTCCATTTCGATTGAACTCGCGCGCAAGAGCGTTGCCGATGCCACCTGGAGAACATCTACTGTATATATCAGAAGTTGTTGTTGGTATCTGTCTAAAGTCTGCAACTTACCCTGTGATGAGCACCGATCTGCGAGTGTCTGTCATTCCTGACGTGTTTGAGCTGAAGTATGTATGACAGACTAAACCCAAGGTCTATATTTGAAAGTCACTTATACAACGTAGTATGTAGTAGAGCAGCTGGCTACGGCTGTACTAGTATACATATCAGGTAGGCGAGTGGGGATCAAGCAAATGCCTCGGCTCTCCACGTTTCCACGGTTCAGGGGATAGCACCGAGCCCTAAGCCCTATTGCCTGTTTTGTCTTTATAGTACTCCGTACAAAAATGCTTGGAGATATGAAAAATAAAAAAGGAATAACTTAGGATTGCACATTAACGAATCGCGAAGTAGACTTGTCTACATGCAACAACCTGAATTTATACCATCTCGAGTATATTGCCGAGAATCCACATAGCTGGTGGTCTATTCTGTTCCTCTCTCAGAGCAACCTCATGGAGCCGATCGAAAGCAGTCGTGGATTCTTGCCATCGGTCTCCACATTAATTCACGTCGATCCCAACGACCCGTCTAGTATTCTTTTCTACTTAGATTTTCAATCGCTATTAATTAAAGGGGCTTCGACAACAGAAACCTGAGATCGTACAGAATATTTTCCCCATGCTGGTATCTTAGCCTTTTGCGACATCACCTCTACTACCCATGCCATCATCCGCAAGCAGCACAATAGAACCCCCGAACGAGGGGGAAGTTCAAACCATCCACGCTTGTATTCAGCCGTGTGCACTCGTTGAGTCAGCCCACAATTAACAGTGATGGCCACCGAACCCGATCTACCCCGGCACATGCGAAGTCCCGGCGAAGACGGGTACCGAACACCAACGATAGAAGATGCTGAGCGGGCGCTCTCAATCCCGGGGACTGCTGAGGAAATTCCCAGTGGCAGAGTTTGCGAGGCTCATTCGTCTGCTCTGGAGGCTGCATTACAGCGAGCCTCGTCGCGGGCTACCGTGAAATCAAATCCGGATAAGGAAGCCGGTGCGTGCCGAGAGTATAACGGACTGAGCCTGTTTGGGCTCAAGCACACGGTTTCGGGGAAGCTGAGCTGGAAGGAGCGCATTCGTCATATTACATGGGCGTATTTTACGTTGACTATGGCTACTGGTGGCCTAGCTAATGTCTTGTATCAAGGTGTGCATGGTCGATTTCATTCCGTTCGGTTGAGTATGGCTAACAAGAACCAGTTCCATTTCGGTTCAGGGGCTTGGATACGATTGGCATCGTGGTTTTCCTGATCAATATCGCTTTATATCTCATCATCTGGGGTCTTCTGCTGGTCCGGTTCTATCATTATCCGTATACATTCAAGGCGTCGTTCATGCACCCAACGGAGTCACTCTTCGTACCCGCAGCTATAGTATCCTTTGGCACGATCCTAATCAACGTATCTCAGTACGGGCCCGAAAACACGGGTCCGTGGCTGATTCACGCAGTCTGTATTCTATTCTGGATCGATGCCACTCTAGCCGTTATGTTCTCGGCGGGCATCTACCTCCTCCTTTGGTCGACGCAGACATTCACCATCGCGCAGATGACTCCTATCTGGATTTTCCCTGCGTACCCGATGCTCATCATTGGCCCACATGCTGGGATCCTCAGTGCAAAGCTAGAACCGTCGCAGTCATTGCCGGTTATTATTGGCGGCACGACTATCCAGGGAGTTGGCTTTTTGGTTTCGTTGATGGTGTACTCGGCCTTCATATACCGGCTGATGACTCAGAAGCTGCCAAAGGAAAATCTCCGTCCTGGTATGTTTGTTTCTGTCGGACCGAGTGGGTTTACGGCTGCCGGGCTGGTAAATATGGCGGCTGGGGCGAAGAGGTCGTTTCCGGCCGGTTTTATGGGTGACGGGGCGCTGGCCGCCGATGTGTTAAAGATTGTTACTAATTTTGCGTGTCTTTGGCTTTGGGGGTATGTTTTATTGTTTGGTTATTTCTGTGTACTCGGCTAACTCTTCTCTAGGTTAGCCATCTTTTTCTTCATTATTGCAAGCACGGCCCATTGGTCGGCGATTGGACATGGACGCATGGTCTTCTCAATGACCTGGTTCTCATTTATTTTCCCTAATACTGCCTTGATCACTGCCACTTTTGCTATTGGCAAGGCATTCTCCTGCAAGCCTATTGAAATTGTTGGGTGTGCGGCGATACTACCGTTGCTGTTGATGTACTTTTTTGTGTGCTATATGATGGTTCGAGCTATTTTGACACGACAAATCCTGTGGCCTCAGAAAGGTGAGGACAGAGACGAGGGTGGGTTTGAAATTCTTCGAGTTAAACCAGAGGCTGCGGGTGGTGTTTTAGGGCATACATAGAGTGAATATATATTTTGCATACAAACTAGGACACTCAGCACCAAGGAATAAAACACAAGTATATTGTTATAATTCAAATAACAGGGTCAATACCAACCATAATTATCATGAAAATAACCCGAACGTATCCCCAAAAAAGGATAAAGAAACGATATACAAAGCAAGCTATACAAAAAGAAAAAACAAAAGAAAAACAAAAAAGAATGGACCCGCCGGGAATTGAACCCGGGACCCCCCGCAAGTCACTGTTGTAGTGCGAAGCGGGTATTATACCCCTAAACCACAGGCCCATTTGATGAAAGATGGGCATTTTATCAGCTACTCAAGGGATGAGATGTATGCCAATGGTAAATTTAATCCATACAAATATTGAAAAGACTGCTACTTTCCGAGTAGCTTATGTATGACTTCAACAAATTCTTCTATTACCCTAGCGGCGGTTGGGTGCAGGTTGATCGCGCTCAGCATTTAGGCTATTCAAGGGATCCTCCTTCACGAGGATCGAAGCCAGTTCCTTTGTGGACGCCGTGTCATCTTCAGTAAAGACACCTCCCCCTCGCAAGAAATCCCCAGCTAAGCTTATGATCCACGATAGCATCGAATCCATCTTTTTACATCAATATGTACGGATCATGGATACCGTCTTTCTTGCGACCGGATTTCACCTGGCCTCGACCGATGCAGTCAACAATATGCAAAACGACACCTGAATTGCCAGCTCTTCCTTTCAAAATGACACGCCGAGCCCACGGTATATTCCATGAAATACTCTATCGATTGTCGGGCTGGTACTGTTCATGGGTCAATATTCCTTTCGACGCACACATTGTGCAATTGCCGTTTGGGTTGGTCTTGAAGTGGACAGACCGAACCAGTCTAGAGGAGGTCGCCGCAATGCAAATGGCGCGAGCTGCCGGAATGCCTGTTCCGAAAGTTTTATCTTGCGGGGAGCACCCCCATGCGCCTTTTAATCGCATTTTCTCGATATTGATGACGAGATTGCCTGGAATACCACTTGTGAACTCGGTCGACCCTTTACAGGTTGAACTAGAAGAACCATGGCTTTTCGAGCTAAAAGAATGTGTTACCTCTATGCGTGCTTGGCCCTCGCCTTATGCCCGAAATATTTGCTCGGTTTTAGGTACCTCATTACGAAGTTCAAGAGTACCCGATCATATAATGGGTCCGTTCATAGACGAAGATGAGCTCCACGACTTTCTCTTAGGCCCTAGCTCTGGACACGGCTTTGCTTCAACTACAGAGTATATCCAAACTTTGACACAAGCAAATGAAATTCGCAAATACTCTCACCGAATCACTTTTACTCATGGCGACTTCAAGGCTCACAATATCCTTGTTGGAGACGATGGCCATCTATCGGCTTTCCTTGATTGGGGGTCTGCTGGCTGGTATCCTGAATACTGGGATTTTACGACTGCAATGAGATTTGGAAAGAATACCTGGTGGTACCAGGTGGCTTCGTGGATTGGGGGGGACCAGTACAACGAGGAGTTAGCTTGTGATATTGCGCTTAACTCATTGACGGTAGACTCATATATAGCTTTCTGAAGAGCAATGCACTTACTCTATGATTTGTTTTCCTCATGCTTTTCTTCCCGCATTTATAACTTGGTTTTATAATTTCAGAGAGGAGATGCAGGAAATTGAAATTCGAGGATAGCAGTAACGGACTGGAGAAGGATTGTACGCAGCGTAACTAGTGACTAACTCCCTATTCGAAGCAAGTGATTGTAACTCCCTCAAAGGCATAGGCTAGATTTCACAATCGGCCGTGGCAGCGAAGTGATGACAGCGCTTGCGCTATACTGGTTTCCAACAGCGAAGCACTCCTCCATCAACAGTATTACTACGAACAATGCCTTGCTGGATGAGTTCTGCATAGTCTTTTCCAACCATACAACGTAGTCAAAGCTAGGTATACTGTTGATATCCCCACCGTGCGATCTCATGATTTAATCAAGCTGGCCATAGCTAGAAGAATAGCGATTTGAACGAGGGCACATAGAGAATTGGACCTGAACACCCCGTTCGTGGGACCGTGATAAAACCGTAGAATTGTATGCCTTGTGCTGCCAACCGAAGAAGTACCGGGGAGGCCATCTTTGATAGAGTAGGGTTACCCATAACAGATCTGCATGACCGACGAACTGAAGCGTGAATCCCAAGAATTAGCGGGAACGTGTTCATACGGCATTGGAGGTACGGCGCAAGATTTTAAAACTACGTCCAGTCTCACCTTCAAAGTTATAACACGGTCGATTTCTTGTATGTTGAAGATCTGCAGCTGTTCGGAAGTAAGCCGGGCGTGGCCCGTCTCCCACGGGATGATCGTGGAGATGGACATGATATAGGGGTAACAACACATATGTATGGAAATTCCTAGGTCAAAGGTAGCTGTTGCTGGATTTATGTACCATAGTTCTATTAATACTGTCTAGGGTTCTTTTTGAGTCTATGGGCTGAAGAAAATAAGAAGACGAGTATTTTGAAGCCGTCATCTACTGTTACGGTCTACAAAGTTTACACAAGTGATGGAGGTTTCGACAAAAGTCAGTCTGGGTATCAAATTTGAAAAAAGAAGACAAGACAAAGATCATCCCCGCCCCCCCTAAGCACCCTCCATCACAGCATCCTTGGCCGCAACTGGGGGAGAACTGCCGGCGGAAGCAGCCGAACTCCCGCCGGAGTTGCTCCCACGTTTCTTCTTCCCCTTCTTGGGGGACTTTGAGCTTCGACCCCGGCGGTGGTGGTCAACCGCACCGCCGGACAACTTGCGGCCACGACCGGGCTCCTGCGCCGGCATGTTGAGAATTATCCGGGGGCGCCCCCTGACTCCCCCCACGGAAGTTGGAACCTGTGGAACCGGGGGGAGATCCAGGGGGCTGACACCCCGGTGCGGAGTTCCCCCACGCGTCAGACTGGTGCTCTTCCGACGGGAGGCACCCACAGACGGGGAGGCCTCGCGGGAGGCAGCAGGGAGGGTCGTGGCGGCGGCGGCGGTTTTGGGAGTCTTCAGGCCCTTGCGGGCCTGGCGTCGTGGGGTGGTGGGCACGGGGCCCGACTCCTTGGGCTTGCGCGCGCGCAACTGGCGCCCCTTCTCGACGGGGATGATGAGGTCGAGACCCCCGTCCTGGGCGCTCTGCTCTCGGCGCTGGCGGTTCAGCTCCGCCGGGCGGCAGCTCCGGGTCTGGCGGCCATCGGGGATGATGAGCTTCGAGAGCTCCCCGGTGGCCACGGCCCAGCTCACTTCTGGCAAAGGGGCGGCAGGGATGTTGGCATCGAGGTCCCCGGTGGACCTCCGGTCTCTCCCGGGGACAACGACCTTTGCCGCAAAGGATTTCGTGGCTGTCAGGTAGGTGGCAGCACTCTTCTTGCGCCCTTTGCTGGGCGTTGGAGCCATAATGGCATCCAATTCTCTCAGATTACTCTGAGACCACCACTCACTTCTGAACTCTGAGTTCTCACTCAGACCTGACAGGTGGCTGAGCACACCGGAGGACAGCGCGCGGTCACTGTAGCCGCCCTCGAGGACGCTGATGACGCGCCCCTCCACACCGAGGCCTTCCTCTTGCGACATGCGGATTACATCCGCCGTGAATCTGGCGTAGAATTCAGTCGGCACCTTCACGCTGTGGCGTTGCATGCCGTTGCCTTCCCACTCGCTGGCATCAAACCCGGCAGAGATGAAGATTGCTGCCTTGGGCAGCGGGGAATTCGGATTCACTTGCCGCTCTTGACTGAGTTCCATTGTACGTTGCCGTAGGAATGAGCGGGCTTTGGTGAGCAATGCGTTGTATTTTGTGCGGTACAATTTCCAGAACTCATCGAGATCGGCCCACTCTTCGAGATGAACATTCCAGATGGACTGATTGTGTGCTTCGACACAGAGGCTGGCACCCATGACTTTGTCACGCTCACCATTCTCGCAAGGGAAAGAGTTCACATCATGCAAGCTATAGTAGCCGATAGCTGTTTTGCTGTATGGAGGAGCGTCTTCATACTCTTTGAATTTCGTGGCATCGGTTTTGGCCAAGTCAGCTTTTTGTGTTTTGCTGAGTAATTTGGAGTTGTGGTCATATGCAATATCCTGAGACCCATCGCCATGGTGAAGATCGAAGTCAAGGATCGCAGCGTGGGTCAGACCGTGGGTTGTTGCTGCGTGGGAAATTCCGACATGAACGTTGTTGATCCAGCAAAAGCCGGAAGGGAAGTTAGCTGAACAATGGTGACCGGGAGGTCGAATGCAGACGAATGCGCGCTGGATCGGACCAGACTTGAAAACAAGATCCACTCCCTCGCAGACGCCCCCTAGGGCTCCTTGGAAGGCATTCACAGACTCTGAGCATAAGTAAAGGTCGTTGGCATTCAGGGCAGGGCCACTTGTCCCGAGGCCGTCGTCTGCCTCCGTCCGTTGTCTGGCAAGTTCGTTCCCATCCATGATGAGACGTGATTCTGCAAGGTCCCCCATCCATTTCAATTCTGACATCCATTGAGTTCCATGAACATCTGTAACGGCAGTATCAGACAGATGCACTTTGCGATCAGTCTTGATAATTTGAAAAGGAACATCAATCTCGTCCAAGCCCGAGATTGGATTTGCAGCGAGATCTTCCGCATATCGAGAGCCGAGGCGGACATAGGCTGCAGATATGCCCACAGCGCAGGCGCGAATGCGCTCTGGTCTTTCGACAATGCTGTCGATAGTTCGTTTTGGCGCCTCAAGCTGGGAGTAGCGGTGGCCATAGCAGTCGTCATGAACAATAACAGCAGTTTTAGTATTGACATCACCAGACCGGTGTAGTTCAAGCTCCTTTGAGAAATGCGCAGCAGCGACAGACAAAGCAGTCGGAACTAGAGCTTCTGGAGCCGGGCTGAAGACAAGGCGTGTGGGGGGCATCGCGGCTGAGGCTGCGGTGGCTGGCGACCCCACAGAGGTGAATGATGTGCGGCGTGAAGGGCCAGGAGTTGGAGATGAAGGTTTGAGCGGTTGTGAGACCGAACGAAGAGATGCAACAGACCTTTGCTTCTGTAGCGGTGCAATTGACCTGTGTCGTTCGTCTCGAACAGAAACAGGACCAGCTGTTTGTGAGACAGATTGCACAGGTTGATTTGATTGTAACGAGACAGCTTGAACAGGTTCACTGGGCTGCAGAGGAATAGCAGGTACAGCTCGAGCGGCTTGAACAGATCTAGAGGGGAGAGGATGGGATGGAACAGGAGAAAGACGAGGTGATAAAGGCAATGGGGTCTCTGTCGCCAGGGTCAGGCGATTCAGAGAATCGATCAATTCACAATGCGCCTCATCGTTATTGTCGTTCTTAATACCATTGTCCCCTGATAATGGCGGGTCCCCCGCAGTGGAGGGGGGCTTGTATTCCATCTTGCAGATTTCGACTCTGCCACAAAGGGTCAATACACGATGTTTCTCGTCATTCAAGAAATGAAAAGAGATGATAGGTCGAGGTTCGATGAATAGGGAAAGGGAATCAAAAGCAACAAAGAAACAAAGGAAGGGTGGGGATTCACATGTTTGGGTTAAGCCACATGGGGTAGGGGTTCGGTCGATCACCAGACCATAGAACAACGACATACAACGACATACAATAGACAACATTCTTAGATTTCTATTGATGAATTGAGGAACTGAGGAATTGATTATTGATCTTCTTTGATCGCCTCTACTTGGTTCTTATTGTATAATAACTAGATTCGTCTTTATTAGCTTTTGCAACAATGCACAATCATAATTCATGCTCTTTATTAGAACTCATCTCTAATATAGAATAGTCAAAAATATCCCAAATTCAAGAAAAACAAAAATCAGATCTCATGTAGATCATCTAGACCATCGTATCCAGGTAATGGAAGACCGTAAACTCATTTAAATCGAGATCCCAACCCCCCGACACCAAAGCTTTAAAAAAATAATAGACAGAGAAGAGAGAGAAAAACAAGTCAAATGTAGATGTTGCCACTAACGCGACCGCAGACCTCGCCATTGATACCACTGATACCAACGGCGCCCGAAAGAATCCTTTTCACCAAGGGAATCTTGAGATCGGCGGCCGGTCTTATTCTCCTTCTTGCGGGTCTCCTTCTCAGATTTGAAACCACGCGTGGCATGCGAGTTGCAGAAGCAGTGCATGTGCACGGTCTCGACGCTGATGCCCGGGCAATTATTCCGACGATGGGCGGCACAGACGCTGTTGCCGGCATCTTCTTCGCATTGGCACCATTCGTAGAGTGTGAAGTATTGGCGACACATATTGCTCTTGTTGGATGCTTTTCTTCGTTGCAGTTGGCTGTTGACTGTTGACTGTTGCGGGGCGTCCTGCCGATTCCCGCAGTAAGTTCTGGATATTTGCAGTTGCAGTTGCAGTTGACAGTTGATGGTTGATGGACGATGGACGATGGACGATATGGACTTGGTGGTAGTTTCAGAATATGTAAAGCAGATTGACTGCGATATGAAGATTGATGATGGTGTATGGCAAGGAAATGAGGATGTCAAATGCCCGGTGTGTAAATGGCGTGTGAATGGTTTCGAG